TACTTACGCCCTGTTTGAACAAAGCTTGGCAAACAGGTTTTTTTTACCGTTGACCCAGCAAACACCCGGCGGGGACATAGTAAGAAAATTTTCAAGCTCAGAGCACATACATTCATTAAACAAAATTTTTTTCTCATTTCGGGTAGTAGCTGCGTGGAATGACCTTCCTCCACAATCCGCCTAGAACACAGTTTAAAGCACTATTATTCATTTATTTATACGAATCCTCGCGCTGGCAAGCATACTGCCCCGCACTGAGAACATAAAGAGCAATGCTACACCCTTTTTTCACTTGTGCCTTTCAGGTGAACGACAGCCACTGATCGACAAGAACAAAAGCGACCCGGGAAACTTGGGCAATAGCCTCGATCCTGTGTATCAATCCGTGAATCCGTGAACTGACCTGAAGGAATTACCGGGCGCGGCTTGCGAAAAATCTCATCCCTCAATGGATGCTTATCTGGACATGTAAATTATGAGTTGTCTTTCTTCTGTGGACGAAGTTTCTCACTCCATAAGGCAGGAGATCGTCCGATTCGAAAGCGTCCACCCTAGCATTTATGCTATCTATGATCTGGTTGATGCGATTGAGGACAAAAATATCTCCGATTCATTACGACAGTTGGTGGTATCCATTGAAGGTATTCTGGCACATTGCTTGCTATAATATCTAAATCTAGATGCTTTTGTCAACAGCCAAGAGTGGACGTTGAGCCACAGCGTTCCTGACATCAAGTTGGTAAGGATGTGCACTCTAACTGTACATGTTTTGCTTTAATTTCTGTAGGGCTTATTGGGTTCCGTTCAGAGTGGAAAGTCTGCCCTTGTTCATCGTTATCTAACTGGGACATACCTTCATGAAGAATCACCTGAAGGTGGCCGATTCAAAAAGGAAGTTTCTTTGGATAACCAAAGTCATCTCCTTCTGATACGTGACGAAGGTGGACCTCCCGATCAACAATTCAGTCACTGGATTGATGGTGTAATCTTCGTATTCAGTCTTGAAAACTTTGAAAGCTATCAGACTGTTTATGAGTACTTCACCCGTTTAAGTACTTACCGGAACACAACAAACTTACCCATTTTGCTTGTTGGCACTCAAGGTTCGATGATTCCGCTGTATACAACTTCTAGATTCCAACTGTGAACCCTACGTAAGAGTGATCGATGATGCCCGCGCTCGCAAGCTGGCTACCGACCTAAGACGGTGTGTTTACTATGAAACATGTGCAGCATATGGGCTTAATGTAGAGCGTGTCTTCCAGGATGGTACGTTCTTTTTCTTTTGTCATAACTCCTTTAGCATGCATGAAAATTCTGCAAGCTAGAGGCGCCAATTCCCAGAATCCTATTCAGAGACCGATCACGCCACAGTTTTCTGGAACTGTGCCTTCGCGCCCCCACGCGGTAGGTATTGTCAGTGTACTATAACGTAAAATCCTTCGCCTAAATGTTGCATAATTGCTGGCGGCTAAGTTACCCATTTAAGTGGCTTTCGCAGCGAAGTCAAGTTTGCCAAGCGTGGACCTCCTGCTTTCCGGTTTTCCAGTTGGGCTCGGATGTATTTCCGTTAATACTGCTTAGTGCTGGAAATAATTTGATGTCGTACCTGTCGTCTTTGATTTAATCTGAATTTATTTCCAGTCACTGGAATATTTCCACACTTCATGGAGCAGTTGCTTCATTCTGTGTACTTATAAACTGCATTTCAGGAATGGGTTAACTTACCGTTTTGCAGTGAAGCTCCCGCACGCTATGTCTGTTCCTGGCCAGGGTCTCCATCAGCGCATCGGAAAACACAAACACCGATTCATTGATTACCTGTTTTCCCCGTACATCTTGGTGATGGAAGTGCTCTTCGGATTGATTAGCGTTGTTCTGGAATGGTATCTGGTTCTGGCTAAGTTGTCAAGATTCACTCTGTGAACTGGACGTTTATTTACTTTTATTTCCACCAGGCAACGTCCAGTCACTTTTTTGGATAAAGACCACTGCTGTCAACAGCTAAGGAGTGATCTGTGTAAAACTTTGGGTCTATGCATCCGGCAGGTCGGTCGTATTTCGATTAGCAGCAATAAAATAGGCGGGCAGTCTGGCGTGCTGGAGCTTGCTGTTGGTTACATAGCTCCTTTCACAGCGCTACTGCACAACCTCAGTTTAGAATGACAACGGGATAATGTCTTCTATTTCCCATTTTTTCCGCAATCATGGCTTTAGATATGGCTGTGCAGCAATGGCGGAATGGCATTCAGCCTTGGATTCGCTGTCAAAAACACCGAGGTGTTAAAGTCCATAGTTCCCTGAAGTATGTCTTTCATGATGTCGACCGTGAAATTGCACACGAAGGCTAGAAGGGACACTTACCGAACCTCACTAAACATGGGAAAACTGTTGGACGGTTTATTCCAAACCTTCACCTGACTGGGAGTTTGGCAGTACCGGTACAAGTACAATTACAGACTGTAAGAGCGCTCCACTAGATGTGGAGGAGTCTACCGGAACCGAAAACACCTTTAAAGATGGACAAAACCGCACTTGTTGGTCAGACACATATATTCGGGCACTTGAAATGATATGAAGATTTGATCCATACATCCCCTACCAGAACGAAGTTGGTTATGCTTTCAGGTTTGCATGTCGCATACCAAGGTTAAGCGTCGCAGCATTACTACAATTAGTAGCTGCAGTGGGCCGGGCGAGTAACGACTGCCTCCGTGGTTTGGGTGGACACTTTGGACGCCTTTCCGAAACAAAAACAGTACGGTCGATTGACTCTAGTTTGGAATGTGTTCTTGTGTCTGAGTGCTTTCTCGCCAAAGCCGATCTGCCCCGATTGTTGGATGGCGTTACAGACAAGAATATTTATCAGTACTTTATAGACCGATGTAAACTGGCAGGCCTTGAGTTTTAGTTGAGTCTGTCAAAGGTAGTGAAGCTGATGGCCAACAGCAGTGTAGAAAATCTCAGTGATCTAGAATCTCTAATCATACATCAGGCTTCAAGTATCATTGGCGGATTTGCCAGTGTGACCTATTGAATCCCGCATTGTTGATTAGTCAAGGCAATTTTTGTGGGTTCTCTGCTCCAGTGCTAGTTTGTGGACGAGTCGAAAGATGCATAATGCCGCATTGCTTTCCATAGTGGTCCATGGGTGCAGAGCATAATATGCGATTAAGACGAAAAGAAATTGCTTATCCTGTCCACTGGAGTTTTCAAGCATTGCATTTACCTCGTGAGAGCACAAGGTCTCCTGAAGTTTGGTGGCTACTTGCTCACTTGACGAGGTGATACGGCTGAGCTGTGGATGTCCTTTTTTAGGCAATCGAATGCCTTCTTGTGCCTTGGAGGTGGAGTGTGATCGTGTTGTTCATCCCCTGTCAGGTTGGAACAGAAGAGACCCAACCCATCAATGGCTGGGCACTCTCATGGACATGGCAAAGTCCCGTAGCCAAAGACACTACTTTATCCACGTGCCAATTTTAAAATTATCCTGTTGTTTTATTTCTTGGATCAAAGTTTCACTGCTCGTCTTGCATTACCTGTGTTTAGTTACTGACAACCAACCTACAGTTTTCATGGTTGCAAAACTGATCCGAACTGAACAGGCTGTGAAAGTATGCCGAAACATGGTTGATACGTTTTCTTCGTCCATCCATTCTTCAAGACATTACCTTGCAGCTTCTTCAACAAGGGACCGGTAGTCGATAGGCTTGGAGCCGACAGCGTGAGCTGTCTACCACCTGACTAGTAGCTATCCATTCCTTCCACACTCGGTGGCTTTCTGCCGAAGGCGTCTGCAAACTCTGGGATTTCTATCAGAGATTTGTAGGGCGCTCATAGTTAGTGGTCAGAAAACACTGCTTTAACATCACGAATTCCTGGCATTGGGGCTTGATGGCTCATTGATTAAAACACGAATTTACTGTCCGTAAGGTTCATGATTTTAACTCAGCCTCTGCATCTCGACTTCCCCTGGCAGTATCTAATCCTTCGTGCTTCCTTCGGGTTGCATGGCAGCTAGGCAGGGTGCAACAGCTGAACGATTCCCTGCATTTACTTTAGTGATAAAAGCTTCAATCGGTTCTTCACTTCTCGGAAGGGTGAGCTCTTTTAGCTCATACCAGCCCAGTCAATATGTCCGAGCCAGCGCTCACGTTTTGGTGAACAACTGAAGGCTTTGGTTGCTTCTGCCAGATCAGATATTGAGTGTTCACTCATTGCATTTGACGTGAATCACCTCTAGAGCTGGGACAGAGTGTCAGTATGTGCAAACCTGATCATCTACGGACAACAGCAGTAAGGCGCATCCGTTAGCTAAGCCGTCCTAGTGTATGTGCCACTCGCCCTGAAGAATGTCCAGAAGTCTGCTGTATGGGTCTTTCTCAAGTAGCGGACAAGCATTCCCTCCCCGATAAGAATAGAAAGAAACTTCAATGGACAGGATGCTTTGTTCCTCCTCTTTCGCGGGAAAAGATGTGGCTGGTGAAGCCTTATGAAGGGACCGATGAAAAGCGACCATTTCTGTGAGAGCTAGTCAATTAAAAGTTCAGGCCGTCAATCCGAATCGGTCTAGTGTAGGGATTTCTTTTGAGGGGATTCTCTACGGAGACTATGAATGACCCCTTTTGACGTGCCTTGACTGGTTGCGTCATTACATTCACCAACAACCAGCACCTCGGATCTTGACAGCTTACGCTTTCATCGTACCTGTGGCATGCGTCAATAAAAACGACTAGGCCAAACGCGTCTCCGATATTGAACATGACCACTGATCCTAGATAGCGGTTATCCTTGATTGCCACGAGGCCTATCCTTCCTAAAAAAAACGATTTTCTTCACTTGGTATGGTGAAGTTTTCCCCTTCCCATTAAACTGCTCTCTGTATATTTGATGCAATCGCATGTACGAATACTTTGTATATCATCACAACTCTTGCGGGCACCTTTCCACTCCACCTCAGTAGCTTTTCGCTCTACCTCATGGATACAGTCTCCGATCTGATAAGTCGACCCCGCTGGTTTCTTCAGTTTTGGATCTCAAACGGGTTCGGCATGTTCAATCAGGCATGTGTTAAATCCGTGTGTTTCATTAACTTGCAGGCGCAGGTTAAGGATATTGGCTTCGAGAGTTATGTCGTCTACAAACAGGTCGATGATGTTTAGTTACTGAGCTCCGCTTCTCCGTCGAAAAGTGTTAAGTATCCGTTCCAGACGCCAATGATAGAAAACTCCGCATCTCAGGCGATCTATGGATTGGGCCTTGTCACGTAGGGGTGGTCCAAGCAGGTGGCGGATTGGCGAATGTGGACCTTGATCTGAAGAACGGTTCAGCAAACTCACGATGCATTCTTGATGACAGAAGTGCTTATCAAGTGGTTGATGCGGTTGAAGGCATATTTTCTCCTTAGTAGCCTATGGTGCTGCGTTTTTGTTGTTACTTTCGGATACCTCTGACTCAGTCGAACGGACAGCAGTGGATTTTGAATGAGGACTTATTCGAAATACTGACAGAGTGCAGTTTTTAGACTTAGGAGTCGCATCACAACTTTCTGTCTCATGCTGTGAAAAGTCGTGGTTAGTGAGCTTTTGAATTCTGAGTAAAGCTTATTCCTGGGGTTGGATTCATTTTTATCCCATTGCATGTATGTATGTACGTCACCCAGAACTCATGTGTTCGTTTCAAGGTGCTGACCAATTCAACCGTATCAGTTTCCAATGCGAATACTGCTGATAAAATTGCTCGACCAACTCAGCCTCCCGTTCCATCCGCGAATGCGCGTCGTGCGGAAATGCTAAGTAATCCTGGGTTTGAACCCGATCTTATCGAGGTATGTTTCTTGAGGCATCTTTTATGGCTATCCCGTATGTCTGACTTTTTTGGACAATTTTTCCAATAGTTTGCTCGTTCAACGGCTCTTGGTTAATTTTAGACTGGTTGAGATTCCGTTCGCCCCCATTTTTCGAAACGGGTTTTTTGTGAAACGTTCAGTTACCAGTGTGTGGCCGATAACCTTGTTTAGGTTAGCTTCTGCTTTTCGAATTGGGTGGATTTTCAATAATGAGTCATGCCGAATGAATTCCAACGAGTTGCACAGCACTGTTTTCGGCTCAACTTCTCGTCACATTAAGACTGCTTGGTTAATCAAGTCTCTCTCGAACCACCTATCGGCTCCTGTGCAAAACAATCATAATTGGTGAGTAACCTTATGAGATCTTATCGTTCTTCCATGGACTTGAGCAACCCACTACTATCTTGCTCCTTGTTTCATTGGGGTTGCTTAGTAGCCGTTCATCGAACGAGTGCAACCGCCAAACATTGTCATCAGATTTGGTTTTGCGGATCTACTATTTCAACCTCTAGGTTATTTTTTCAAACTTGCGCAGCGTTCCTCTGCAGCTCCCTCGTCCTACCTTTTCATCATCGTGGAGCCTTTCACTTGACTGTTGTTTCCGTCTAGACAACTTTCCTTTTCTGTTTGCCCTGTTCTACAGTTTTCACATACCTTATCCATAAAAGCTAGTTCCTGCTATCCAATGTTCATTCCTAATTCATTTCATACAGGATTGTCGAACCAATCAGACTCTTTCGGCTGCGACAGCAGCAGCCTTAACAAGTGGTATGGGTGTTGGTGGTGATGGGAGGCAGTTTCAAACTTTGAATATCAGGTCTTCTTGTGAAACAGATTCACAACTAGAGTCCGAATTGAGTTTCGATCGCACGAGGTTTTTTGCCTCATCAGTCGTCGACTCACCCGATGATTGGGCGACACACCCGTTTTTCTTAGATGGTCAGGCACCACACTGTCGTCCTGACTACTTGCCACCATCTGACTACTCAGAGAGCGTCATCCCCACCCCAACGCAACACACTTACTCAGAATACAGTGCACATGCATCACAACCTTCGACGCTGACGAGTAGCGTTGGGATCCATGGAGGCTTTGTTCCCTTTCTCCCTAACTTCGCTCCACTTGCCCAATTCACCCCGCTTCCGTTACAACCACCACCGCCCGTATCACATTGCTTCGGTTCGACCACTCTGAACCCGGCTGCGAGTATGTCTTCGGTTGGATTAGGCGCTGATACTGTCGTGAGTTGGCCCCAAATTAAAACTGCATGTTGCTTACGCCTGGTCTCACTACATCTGTCACTTCGATCATTCTATCCCTCATTCGCGATGGCTTGTATTTCGCACCGGCATTTTATGGTGCAATCCATCTGCTTGAATACGCTGACCATGAGCGTGCATGAGATCCGTGGGATTACTTTGCATACTGGTTAAATATCCTGTTCCGCACGCCTTCCAACTTTGGTACTCAGTAACTGGTAACACAACGGGTGGATTGCGTAATGACTTGTTCCGAATCCACATTTCCGATGCCTGACTTGCTCAGTTATTGTCACTTTTCGAACGACTTGTTTTTGTTTGCAATAGTCGCTGTGTATTCTATGTTTTTTTTCTATTATTGTTTACTCACTAGGAGAACAAGGGAGAGACTAACGAGTCCCTAACGCCAAGTAGCACACCAACACACTCCCGTAAGAACAGAAGAAAATCAAACCTCTTCGTAAGTTCCAGGTTGTTCCGCGTACCACCCAAAGCTGTGTTCTCCACCCTCGTATTAACTCAGCATTTCTGGCATAGTTATTGTTGTGTGCATTTTGGAGATAGCATCTTTATCCAAGGCTACGAAACCATTTGGTCTCTGACTACTCAGGTTGTTTGTACCTCATTGATTCTCCGACGTCAAGCCTGGTCGGGCAGTTCCCAATAACAGGTACTGGTTTCATATACTGTCACCTATGTTCAATCTGTGAATTTATTGGAAGACAGTAAATTGTCAAGTAGTCGTTCGGATTTCATCTTCACTGAGCTGCTGCCTCATGCATATTAGATTATGATATTTTTGGAACAAAAAGAGTAGAAGCCCACTCATGTTTCATGAAGTGACACTTGGTTACTTCGCGGACTACATTGTAGGCCGCAATCGACATATAATGGAAGCACATGCTGGCCAGCTGGTATCATTTCCGCTATTAGTTGTGGATTAGTATAAGACACAACCCTCTGCTCCGATCATCTCATCGTACCATATACTTGTTCTTGACCTGAACCAATGGCGAAAATGAAATTAGGATATTGCTTAGCCGACCGCTGACTCAACTCCACTTGGTGGTCACTTCTCTAACCCGGGTAATGCGCTTCCGGTGTTTACACGGATGTCTCGACCGTGGCTGGTGGATTTTTTGCTGGCTTACAGTATGGTCTTATCCGTCACAAAATGTAGCGAAAAACAGAGAAGCCACCTTGCACTTATGTCAAGAGGCCGTTTTTCCTGGTCCGTTCGGACAGGACATCTTTCTCACCATATGAATAATTTATGATTCCACGGGACTTAGGCGCTTCAACTCAGTAGGACTGTTTTAAGGTAGTTCTGGTTATTTTGATGCACATCAAGGGGGGGGGTAGTTTTTTACACCCACATATTAAATCTCGCGGCACTGAGCCCATGCGCTCAATGTTACTCAAAGCTAGTGCGGTAACGTTTGCGATACTACTCCTTTACGTCGTACGTGCCCTCATGCCTACTTTTTCTCTGCACAATAGAAAAAGAACGAGGATGAGAAGGATCGTGGCAAAAAGTTGAACGGCATCGGAAGCGGAAGAGCAATTCCGTTGAAGCAGGTTAGTTTTTCAATCGGCAAATGGTTTGGCAGTAGTTTGAAAAGATTTTGAAGTACAGGTCGAGGTTTCCTCCTTGCAGGTGGAGACAGTCTGTGCTAAAAAGTCGAGAAGCATTGTGGAGTTATTTTATATTTGCTGGGAATCTTTAATGGTGAACATATGACTAATCTCTAGAACAGTTCGAACTCGCGACCTTCAAGCTCGTATTCGATAACTATATCGTCTACATTTTAAGTACCACGAACTGACCTGAGCATTGAAACCACACCCAGGTTTAACTATCTGACTTCACTGAAACTGCGGGTTACGCTTGCTTCTTTGCGTGCCTTAAGATTTCTGTCTCGAACGAGAAACTACTCACAAACCATTCTAATGGTAATTCTGTAGTTTAGTGTATTTGCTTTGAATTTTTGAGTGCTCAAACCCCACATCATGCTGGAGCCATCAAGCATGCCTCCATTGAACTGATTCTCAATCTTTTTGATCAGGTCTCATGGGACACATTGATCACTCGCCTACAGATTTCTCTCTCTCCTTTATGCACCCAGCTTTTGACACAACTGATTGCCGCCCTTCGCATTTCAGGGGTTTCTATACAAACGTTCAAGCAAGCCACTCGGTAAGGAATGGAAAACAAAGAAGTACGTTACACTTACGGACGATGCACGTTTGACCTATCATCCGAGCATTCATGTGAGTCACTGCCTACTAACCACTGTTAGTTTGAACTGGTGTGTTTCGTGTGGTATCCTTTGCATCCAGGTTTTTCAGGAGCAACCTTCAAATTGTGTACCCACAGCGTTTGCAGTCGATGTATTAGTGGTGTTTCTTCCGGGTGGGACGTGGACTTTATGTATAAATTTGTCATCTGAATTCTGTTAGGAGCATGTTGGTTTCTGCGTTGGACGCTACTTCTGTGTGATTAGCTGTTCTGTTAAACTACTATTTTGTAGATATTAGTCCTCTATCAAACTGTTTTATCAGTGCGTTGTGGTGTGAATGTTGTTTTCCATGACTGTTAAAATAATCTCAGTCCCCAAAAAGTTCAATCAAACAAGACCTACCACCCATACTGCTTTACACAGTCGGCTACTTGATTTTGTGTTCACCGTTTTCACAGCATTAAGCTGATGACTACAATGCCAGAAACGCCGTTGTATGCGGTCCTTCCTTCTAGAAAAATTCGACCGTCTCCTTCAGCAAGGTTCCTCTGGTTCTATTGTCCTCGGGCTGTATGCTGGTCATCACGTTCCTACAATTTCCTAGCATGATATTGCCTTACCATTCCGCCACAATATGTCATTAATGAGATTTCAACCCTCTCCAAGCATTGCTCTTGCGGCGGCCAGTACTCGTGATGCATAAGTCATATGTGTAGCCTATAGGATGCCTCTTTTTTTCTGAAATTCTCATTGCTTTGGACTAGCTGCGATGCCCACATCTGGCGGATTAATGCTCATTCCCTTGTATATGTGTATTCTCACATTTATGCTTATCCATGGAGTGTCTTTCTTGAGATTTCTCATCTGAAACGATTGGACAGACTGGTCCGAATACCTTGTGTGCAACCGATATTAGCTGTGGCACTTGGTTCCGCCTGTTGTTGACTATATATGCTCGGCTAAGCGCATGCACCAACCGATGAATAACTTAGTTGGTGTTTATTTTCGCGGTCTGTCTTCCACTTTTGGAATCGTTATCATCCTAAGTAGGATGCGCTACTGAATCGAACTGGTGCACCATTAACTTCAAACCGCTCTGAAGAACCTCAAGTTACTAGTCGTGTGTATCCAGTTAAACAGAACATAAGATGTGACCAGGAGCGAATAACCGAATGGTCGGTCCCATTTTGGTAAATACTTACCAACATAGACGAACTACACTCACTGGCAGGTCACGTCGGTGTTATCGAAAGACTCGACTGAATTTCTCCTTTATGAGAAATATAATAAACCAGTGATTCTGAGTCCCTCGTTGATACCAAAACAATCTTCAGGTTAGTGTATTTCGCCAACAAATTGGTGTTCAATTAGAACATAAAGTGACGGACACTAGAGGACTGCGCCGCCAATGGACTGTCGGAAAGTTTTTAGCAAAATCATGAGTAGTGTGTTTTGTCAAGAGAACCGTCGACATTTAGTTGCACGTATAGTAATACATCCCACTGGTGTATCTGGATCCCTATAGTCTAGTTCCCACACTTTGACTTTCCATGAAAACAGTGTATCACAGCAGGTGTTTGCTCTACGGAGCAATTAGAAAAGCGCCCATACGACCGACAATATTCACTAACGTGGAAGTGAACTAAACAGCCGAATCCATATCGATTTCAGAAGTGAGTAATCATCAGATTGGGTGCACATACAGGTTCGGCGTATTGACGCACGCGTGCGTGCCTATATATGCATAGGTAGGCGAGTGGGTAAACGTACATGTACGTGTAAACACCAGTTGACCTGTCCATAATAAATAGAAAAGGGTTACAATACCAATGATAACGTGCGGGTTAAAACGAGTGAAATGCTTGGGCGCTTAACATTGTTTGTCGTCTGCCGCTTGCCATCAAGTAAACTCGCCTTTTCTGATTTTCTGTTCCGCTCGATCTACGACGATCGGTTCTAGTCTTATTACTCACGTATCAAGTATCTTTCTACTCGCCAGGATTACATGGACAATACACACGGGAAAGAGATCGATCTGAGTCGCACCACAGTCAAAATCCCTGGAGTGGCTTTCCGTCAAGTTGGCGGTCGCATAACCAGCAATGGGCTTCTGCGAAGTCAATTAAGTGAACCCAATTCAGGTGATCCCTTTTCTTTGCAGTGATGTTTTTAGGCCGCTTGAATGCAGGGTTTAGCTATGTTTCGCTTATTTGCATAACAGCCAAATTTCTGTAGTTTTTACTGATACTGCTGTCCAATTCTGCTACTGCATGCATCTTTCGGTTGTTTTGTGTGTGGTTTTTTTGCCGCACAAAAGACATGATTTCCAGCATCTAGTTTCGCCCCAGCTGTTGATAGAACCCTCCATCCAGCTGACAAGATACCATTTCATATGTGTATATGTTTGTGTTATCCGTCTGTACTGATTTCATCTGATTAATTAGTCGAGATTATGGAAAAAAAGCATTAACCGTTGTTCGATAAAACGCCATAAATGGATGTTTAAATAAACGTAATGTGGACACTTACCGAAACATTTTTGGTCACTATATCTATGAGGTCTTCGAAGGAATACCTGCACCAAACAGTTGTGAATAAGTTTCAGGAATTCATTCCTTATATTCCCTAACACATTTCCATGTTGCGCATTCCATAGCACTGATGGTCGCCTTTGTGGGTAATTAGCATAGTGTTCAAACATCGTTTTATAGTATAGACGTAATGCACTAGTCGTAAGGTTATTGAAAACTCTTCGGCAGCCCATGACCGGTTTCGTCCCTCTGGGGGCTCATGAGGTAGGTGCAGTCCCAGAGTTTTGCCAACTTTAAAAACACTAAAAACGAGAGACTTGACTGGGTTCCGGGTGAGTCTTCCGTCGAAACCAAATTGTCTTATATTGTTTTAAATGCCGGACCTGCTGTTTTTGAAGCTGATGGTTTTCTACAACTTTATATCGGCCTTAGAAAATGGTTCCGTCTTATTTCTGGCATGGACGTTTCACTGTGTCACTTGAGTACTTTGTTCCGTAGGTATGCGTGTATCTTGGCGTTACAAAGCGTCAGTTGTATGCGTGTATTTGCGTATGTATGCATCGATCACGCAATTTAGAGCACGTGATCGCCAAGCTCGAATTTGGGTTTTGACTTTGAAAGCGAGGTCAACGACAAGATTAATCTACCTAATTTATCATTGTCATAGATACTATCAACTAGTGGCTACAAGCTTGCGTTGTCACGTGGATAAGTCGGTATGAAGGAGTATATGACATTTGAACATTTTCGTGCTCTCACAAAAACTTCGATGAGAACTTATTTGCATAGGCCCGGGAAAATACTGCTGAATATACAGCATTCCTCATTCCTGAAAGACAGGTGGAATCGCAAAGCCGTCCCCATACGAGAGGTGCCCCGTCAGTAGAAAGGACTGACCAGATGTAATCCTACTGGGACCCGCTTTTGTGACACTGTTTTATTGAGACCAGGTGTGAGGTATCACTATGAAAGATACAGTCATCTTTCATGCTGACTTAGTTCAGTCACCATTTTTGTGTAGTTGCCATTGCAGTCCGAAGCGCGTTTAGCTAACTGCTGCTAAAGCTAAAATATCCATGCAGGACTAAATGATGAACTTCTCATAACCCCTATGGACGTAATACACTACTCATAAGGCTGCTGAGAGCTCTTCGACATCCTCGCGACCGGTTTCGCCCTTCGTGGAACTCACCTGGTAGGCGCGGACCCTTAGTTTCCGTTAATCTTATGTTCTACTTTAGCCCAAATTGCACGAAATTAGCGAAATACACTCATTTGTAAACCAGTTTGGCTTTGTGGCAGACTAGCTTATACTATTGTGTCTGGTTTGTCCATTCACCGAGTTTTTGTGGTCTATTTTGCCAACTGGTTCCTCTTTTCCTGACATCAGGTGTGTCAAATCAAACTGGTAAAATCTCCACATCAACAGACACCGTGCCCAGTGCGAACGATAGTACCGGTTCAGGTTAGTCCCATTTGCTGATTTACTTCCACGATTTTTGTGTGCATTTCCAACTCAATAACATTCTTTGCTGTTTCTAACTAGTCGCGCAGTCTGCATACTCTGCAGAAGTACGAGTAAATCTGATCTCGTCGTGGTAGCACATATTTCCGGTTTCTATTGGTTACTAACAGTGCCAAACTCTTCCCAAAGAGGCTCCCCGATTATTCACACGTTTCTAGTTTGAAAACATCGTCACTTGAAGCTAACGACTCGTTCGGTGCTGTTTTCGTACGGGAATTTGAATGCTTTTTCGAAATCTGGTGTAAATCTTCACTGCTTGTAAGCTAGACTGATCTGGGTACGATCTGAATTTAGAACAACTAGTACAATGCCTCATAGTTATTCGGATAGTCGCAGTTGGTCATCTCATGGTCCCATTGAATGCTGAAGACGGTAGTGGGTTGTCAAAAAGGTTTATCGAGCTTGCGATTCCGACTGAAACATGCTTCGGTGTTCTGAAGTCGTTCTAACTGAAACAGGGGAATTCCAACCGCTTCCCGTCAGTATCAACTTAGTTTGCAAATGAATGTACAATTCGCTGTTCAAATACAAAACAAGAGTGATGAAAATTCAGTAAGTAGACTTACCTGTTTAACCTCAAAAGGACTAGACGGTAGTAAATTTTCCAAACTTTTCCTTAGTGGTCACCGTATTTGGTTCGTAAATGCGGTGTGATTCCATCTCCTGTCAGGCATTTGTATTGTCCGTTACAAGATCTAGCTGACGGAGAAGAGACTGGAGATAGATATGGAGTAGAATAGTATCTTGTAACTCCGGAGATGAAGTCCGAGTATACGGAAGTGAACGAGGAGAAGAGATGGAGATAGATATGGAGTAGAATAGTATCTTGTAACTCCGGAGATGAAGTCCGAGTATACGGAAGTGAACGAAAAGACATCGGAGGATGGACTGGAACCATCGTTTTCCTATCCCACTTCTGCTACTGTGATTTACTGAGTTACTTATTTCGAAGTTCACAAAACTAAGTGCTTTTTCGATGCAAAATTAACCAATTTAGTGAGTAGCTTGTGGATAAAGCTGTAAGTTAAGTTTCGGTTTCATCTCCCACACAAACACGATGTTTGGTTGTCAGTGTTTGACTTGACACCGGCTGTGGAAAATTCAAGCAAGAGGTTGCATTAAATCGGCCGAGCATTTACGCTGCAGTTTGTTTCATTAGCAATGGTGTATTCATGTAACGGTTTCATCCATACAACCAGATAGGTTCTACTCTGCACACTGTTAACGGTGTTCCGCTTACCAACTAATTGTATTTCTGTCTCACTGTGGTGCCTCAGGACTCTTTCGGTCGTGGCAGAGTCGACGTTTTTCGCTGCGGTTGCCTCGTATGCGGTTAGGTAATTCCAGTATCATGATGATACCAGGCACTTCGATTCACTCCTCCTCACTCTTTAATAACACTATTTATTCTAACCTATGCATTCGTTTTATTCAGCAGTCTAAAGCAAGGTTGCTCAGTTTGCATTAGTCGCGAGCGTGTTGAACCGCTGCTGTTCAGTCTCGGATGTTTGTTTTTCGCCGATTCGTTGTTGCTTGCGCTGGCCAATGGGGCGAAATGGCCCAAGTGGTTAGAACGCGAGTTTACTGACCGGAAGGTCGGTCCTTCGAATCCGACCTCCGCCACTCGATTTCTCCTGTCTAGGCTTGGGCAACCTGGCAGTATCCCAGCCCTCCTGCTTCCTTCGGGTGGCATGGCAGCTAGGCACCGGAAGGGTGCTACAGCTGAACGCTGCGGCGGTATGCGAATCTTCCACTCGTAAGCATTAAGCGGGATTTCGAACGGGTAGAGGCTGCGTGAATCACACTCCTTCAGGTGTTAAAGCAACGTCATTCGTATAGACGATGCACAATCTTGGTGTTCTCTGGATCTCAAGGGTGCGTTTGATTGTATCGGCCTATCTGTGCTGTTAACCACATTCGCTCAACAGAAGTTTGTCAACATAAACCGATCCTCGTGTTCACCTACTTTCTAGTGTGTGCGGGTATATGTGAAGCTCTCTAGAAGCATCCCACAAAAAACCGTATCCGACAAGGATACCCCCGCTCTTCAACTTTGTTTGACACTGTCAGCGATGAGAGCGTGAGGAGAACCTTGGAAGGTCTTTGAAACTCGATGTCGCTAGTGAGAATCTTTTCTACCTGGAGTACGCGGTCAACATCGTCCCCATCCTTGAAGACGAAAGCTACAGTAAGGACTACACTGTTGTGTGGTTGCAAGACGGCTTCTGCGGACAGATTGTCGGAGTCGTCTTCAGGTTTTGGACCATCAATGCCTCAGAAGCGTTGATATTGACGGATGGCGTCAACGAATTCATAACGAGGTGATTAGAAAACGGGTATTTGGTCGTGCGGCAGGTACCTTGGGCGAGATGGCCCAAGTGGTTAGAGCGCGAATTTACTGACCGGAAGATCCGTGGTTCGAATCCGACCTCCGCCACTCGACTTCCCCTGTCTAGGCTTGGGCAACCTGGCAGTATCCCAGCCCTCGTGCTTCCTTCGGGTGGCATGGCAGCTAGGCACCGGAAGGGTGCTACAGCTGAACACTTTATCTTTTTTTTTTATCCTTACACGAATGACCACTGAAGTTGATGAAAAGCATTCTACAGATACCACCACCAAATTAGGCACTTGACTGTTAGTGAGCTCCTTTTATCAAAGAAGAACACAACTAACCACGATCGCACCGTCAATTCTTGTTCTATCTACCGATACCTCTTTTTCCAACAAATCATTTTACACACGGCTACCTTTTTTTCATAATAATGACTTTAATTTCAGGGAATAATTTACCCCTTCTTGTCGTCTTTCAGGATGTTCCACCTATATTTTTTTGGTGAGCCCGCGTGCTTGGGATGGTGTCCCATATTATGACTTCATTAGTGTTGGGATAACCTTCTCGGAGGGAGCTGTGTGAGTATCTTGTGCTTTAGTTTACGAGTCAGCTGCGGCACTGGGTTATATTTATGTTTTAGCATGATAACGCATAAACTGGCCAGTTATCAGTCTCCAAACCATGAGTCGAAGTAAACGCCGTCGTTCATTTTCCTGTTTTTCATTTTGACACAGAATTTAGAGTATAAGCTGGTAATAAAGTCGTTACGTTTTGGTGGCGCGACCACTGATGCTTCAGAAATGGTGATGGAGTTGGACGAGGCATTTCTCTGGTCATAAACCTTCGTGATTCAAGTGTGCATATCCGGGTGGTGACGGTTTTTAGTGAGATGTATTCAAACAAGACTGACAGACAATCTAACGATAGTTTATGAAGAGACACAATCAGCAGGGTTAGTGTAGTCTTGGCACATTAGTGATCAGCTTTACCACGTGCGCCGTGAAACAAGGTGACGTACCTGTGGGGGTGGGGGGCACTTTTACTGTCCCGTGACCAGGGTGTTATGAGATGCTATCACTTCAAGTCGAGACTCAAGTAGCTAGTAGAATCATGAGTGTATTGGTCGACCTGTATTCAGTGCCGAACGTCGTCCGTTTCCTCGGAGTTCTGCTAAGAAATTCTTTAATCATAATAGGTGGTAGTAGATCCGTAATGAATATTAAAGCTCCATTTTCAGACAACTGTTGAGGAAGGAAGCCTTTCATAATCCATCATACATCCTATCATCCTTTTCCCTGAATCACAAGATCTTGTACTGAGCGTTAAGCAGTCCAAGGCTGCAGACCATCTTTTTACGACTAGCTTGTATACTGCGCCCGTGCTTCACCCATGGCCGTTTGTCATACATTCTGGAAGGGTAGTTCGACAATTTTTGTGGGTCTGTTTAGGGTTTCCGACTATTCCACTTAAACACCATCCGCATACGGATGTGGTTTCTGTTACTTGTATGTGTGATGCTTCACTTAATGCCCTGTACGCGTCTCGGTTGCGATACCACAGATACATCGGGACACTAATACAGTATTAACGTTGGTGTACACGCGCACTCTATACGTTTGTTGCGTTCTGTTTTTTTTTTTCGGCCGTTAACCACTGTGCACGCGATCCTTGCACTTTTCCTTCGTGTAAGATAACTGACAATGTCGGATTTAGTTGGGGCGTTCACTTTCTGTACTCCGAGAGAAGCCATGGACAGCAAAACCTCCGATTTTCACGGTAGATTAACCCCATTTTTCCTGTCTGATCCCACTTAATTTGGCTCGTGCCCAGGTCCTTGCTTTTAAGAGCCAACTCTTGGTGCAACTCCGTTGTCATCATACCACGGATAGCATAATGTCGGCAGGGATTCGCCTCGTCTCCATTGATCAATGCGCTAAAGTTGTGTCCCAATGGCCACCGTTTCCTAACTCGGACGTAGGGACTCAGAGCTATCTTATCCTGGGGTTACAACTATCCGACTTTGATGCACGCTGCACTTACGCGACTCTTCCATAACAAATGAACAGAAATTGGATTTCTGGACGTTTAGGTGCACAGTTGACATTGAGGGTATATCATCGGACAACGGACAAACTTCACATTTCAAACTTTTTTTTGGAAAAAGGTTACTTCCCGGAAATTTGCTTGTCGTTGATGAATGGTTATGAGGATATCCAAAGCTTATCTCAATCCTCTTGAATGAACGCCATTAGCCTCGTTCTTCATACGGACATTGTAGGTGCCAGTAGTATATCAATCCGTCAAACTTTTCTCCTCCAGAGGTGTGCCTAATGTGGGTTTATCTTTGCCTTTAGGCCAAAAAATGAAGTGGGTTTCCCCATGTCTGTCCAATTGCCGTCGACTTTCAAAGTGTCAATAAGTTCGGCCTTTTGCTTGACCCCAAACAGGATGAACTGCTCTAGTTGTAGGATCTAGGAGACGATCGTTATTGTTGTCTCCTGGCACTGCGAAAAATGATTTATTTAACTGAGCAAGTTACCTGCCGTTCGCACATCATCATTTGCACCAATGCCAATGTTCTAACGCAGATATTCGGCATATGCATAACTGTGAGGATTCCCGTAGGGAAATTCCCGTCGTGAAAAGAACAAAATGACGAAGAGATGAACAGCACTCCAAGCAACCGATCTGTGTAGCAAACTGCAGCAAGTCCTATCGGTGGTCGTAGCTTGTAGCGCCTCTAATCTAGGGTAGAGTTTTACGTAGGCTGCTTGCTGGAGCGCGAGTGACGGTTATTTATGCTACTACAAACTGGGCGCAGAAACACCGGCGATCTCCGTTGTTGGTGAATGGATGGATGACATATGGACAGATGAAACTGCGTTTGATACCGAATGCATTTATTAGGGTAAATATGAGTTACGCAAGAAGCTATTTTGATCCTTGTAAACTGGAAGTTCTGCTTCGTATACCCAAGGAATAATTCTTACTCTCAGTATTGCTTGAGAGATCCGCCCGAGTGTAAAAAGGTGGATGGTGACTTACTGCTCCTGTCAATTGTAATTGCGATGGTGCATCACCGCTTTATTCTTACCTAATGATGTTAGGATGGTACTCATAGCCTTGGACTTGATACTTATCCACGATGAAATTAAGTGTGTTTTTTAACTGCCGAGCCCACCACTTTCAACTGCTCTTTGTCCACCTTTGCTTCAAACATGCTGACCATTTTGCTTTTCCAACCACCCGTTTATATAGCTACCTCAGTTTGCTAGTGACTCCAACTTATTCCGTACCTTCAGCCTTTTTCAATTACAATACAGACTGTGTTTCGTACATTACCCTGCAGACGTTTTAGAGGCTTGTAGCTTTTTAAATTCACCTAGGACGGATTTACATAATATTCCTATTTTTCTCCTATCCGCTTACCTTGCCCAATCCATCACTGGTCCTGGCGCAACTCTATGTCATCGGTAAGTTTTACTTCCTTGACACTGGCCTTCACATTGTTTATTTTCATATTTTTGATTCTGTGTGACTTTTCGACATTCAAAAAGGCCCGGATGTACATCTAATGAACAACATCTGGGGCTCAGTAAACCACTCCCGACCATTCTTGTCTCAGTTATGTTAGTCTCATGGTTATGAAGTAGTCAGAAATGGTGGTGAGATCTACTATGTCCTAAGAACAGTACACGAGAACACTTGAATTTTTGCTGCTTGCTTCCACATTGATGGGCGATTTATATTCGGACACTGACGTGTTAGGATTTTGTACGCTGAAACTCTGGGTTTGTCTTGGGAAAATCTTTCGTAGGGCGTGTTCCTTAAAATCTAATTCCTTGCTCACTTTGTTGCGGTCTTTGTTTTGGCGATCCTTTGTTTGGCCTCCCCTTTAAGATACAGTACTCCCCACTACTAAACACCACAGTCGAAGAGGTTGTTGAGGCGCGCATTTTTTCCCCAGTGTAGTTCCTCTTTGAGTACAAAACTTCAGAAGCGGAGACACTTGTTCACCATATGACTGTCTTAATGTCTAATAGGAAACAACACAATGGAAATATCCTGCGTAATTCACCAGATTTATCAATGGGCTATCGCCTCAAACGGTTTGTACTAATCACGTTTGATACTGTCCCTCCATATTGGTGTACTCTTGTGTTGATTTACTTTGAATAGACTTGGATCGGTTAATAACTATCCTTAGGTACACTGCACAGAGGTTGAAGGCACTGTAGTTGAAGAACAGGATCGAACAACAGACGGTAACTCAGTGGTTTTCTTTGGGGTATATGAAAGCATCAGTGAAAAATGGTTTGCATCAACCTATATGACAAGGCTCGCAATCACTATAAGGGTTTACCGTGTTGCGCTAGCATTCCTCCTTCACAGATATGCAAGGTTAGTTGGACAGTGGCTGTCATCTGTGTACGCAAGATTCTCCGTCTGGTAGCACCTCTACCAATTTACCCGCAGACATACTTAGGTGGGGTGAAAGTGCAAGGTGGTGATATGGAGCTCAGGTTTTGTCTGTGGGAAGTCGAACATTTTCCTCTCAAGGGAAAATTAGTAACTAATCGATTGTAGACGGAATCAACGGTGGCTTCTGGTTTGACTTTGGCCGCTGACTTTCCAAGGATGCCAAGAATGTTACAACTGTCCGCTGCCAGAAAATTACATGGATGAAAAAACTCCAACAGGCAACGAAGATCTGTCTTATTTCATTACTCAGAACCAGACTTTTTCCGTACCTGTTTTGTGTTTCACTGCACCTGCTTGGTGACACGGTAGACGCATCTCCTCTGCTAGCATTCCCCAATATCCTGCATCTCGACCCGTTCTGTGTAACCCCTTTGGAGACACAATAATATACTGGGTTTACGGCCATCATCTGGCTACACTTAGCGGTCACAATCCTTCGTTCGATCGCTTTTGGTGTGCTCGTAGGCATGCACATCTATTAAAGAAGACCTGCTCTTCTTCCCTTCTGGCAAGCAACATTGTATAGCGACATATGGGGACTCAAACTCTAAAATTCAAGACCGTCTCATTTGGTTCCAACAGAAGGCGATTTCATAAACCAGTCGCTAATTAAGCGAATTTAGCACACTTCCTGACATATGCGCAAACCCTATGTACACCAGACAATCCATTTGTCCTTCGGGTCTGCAAGGAAACTATTTGGATAGTTGTGGCGTCCACAGGGTTAGCTACCACCGTCTTGTACCAACATAACAGTATCAAATGTCATTGTTGACTTTGACATTTCTCGGTAGAGTTTTGTGTTCAGTGCTCTCCGAGCAAATTCACATGGGCGGGTTTCACGTTGTTTTTGGGCGTGACCAATGATTCAGCTACAGCTGAATAGTTTGCAATCATTTGGAGCAATCTTGTTGGTGAAACACAACGGCTGAACTTGAAAGTGAAGTAAAAAATGTTCATATTTTCGTACAGTGTTGTTTTTTGTCGAGGTTGTCTCCTCTTGTGTGTACTTAATCTCTGGAACATTATATGGGCTCACTCAACTAACTAGGATCAGAAAGAATTGGTGCAGCAGTGATCAACCCAGTAAGCGGTGATAATAAAGTTTTCAGCTGTCGTATCTTTATCCGTGCTCTCCTTTTTTCACGACTGCTACTGGCAACAGTCGAGCCTCTTGGAAACGCCAATATTTGTTTTTCTTCCTTATCTGAGTTGCCCAGAAAATCTCATTTGACCACACTATTTTCGCTTCCAGCTTTCCATCTGGACAGGCGTGAGGGACGCAACCTGCGTGAAGAAGCGGCATCGTCGGATCAGACCTAATCCGAAAAGTAGCGTTGGTGATGCTGAAGGTAGGTGAATACGATTGCCTATGTGCTGTTCCTCCTCCCTATCGAACGTAGCACATTTTAGGGACCAGTGTAACACACTGTTGCATGTTAGTCGTTAGACGCATATTCTGCTTCTGTGGCCCTTTCTGGATAAGTTCCTGCAAACTTTGAGTTTTTTGTGCCCATCCATTTTGTACTGACTTTTCTTCCATTTTTCAACTGATGGACAGTTCCAAAAGAATAGAACAGTAAGGAAGAGGACGAATTAGCTCCGGCACCGGATGGCAGATGTGTGGAAAACCTATTCTCGACCTAGCAACAAACTCACTGTCCTACGGAATCATTGGCTACTAAAACAAAGGTCGCTATGAGCTCCTCAACAGTCTAGCGCTGTGCAAAAACGATAAATGAGGCAATGGCACCCATTCAGGGCACAGCTGACAAGAGTACTTCATAGAAAATACAGTGACCAAATGAGAACCCACCTTATGAATTAGTCACAGTCATTCTCTTGTTTCCAGGTCATTTTTTCGGACTTCGTAAGTTATGGTGAAGGCAAAGAAAGAATTAATTAAGCCACTGGAATTGAGAAATTATGATTACAGATGAAGGGATCTGGACAGACTGACTCTTGATCAATCTCTTTGCCCCTAGCACGTGGCGATACTTATCTTGGGTTGTCGTCTCAGCCAAAAACACGAGTAGACCACTGTTAACTGTGTATGCGTGTTGTATCCTCTTGGATAATGTATGAGTCAGACTCGTTAGTTCACAGTAACGGTGAGGACAAACAACTTCGAGGAAGTTATACTGCAAACGAGTGGATCGTTCTGCGGTACGGAATTCAACTGAACCAAAATATAAAAAGAGCCAACAGTCCGATAAAATGTCATTGAGAGGCTGAAATTTAGAAACAAGGTTTCAGTAAACCAGACAAATCGTTAGCAAGTCGGATTTGTTCGTTTAAAGGTAGCCCTCCTAACAATGCGCCTACTTGAGCTCGTCCAGATCTTCTGAAATTATCATCCAAGACCTCATCGAGGGACTTGCTACGACAGGCACTCTTGAAGCCGGCTGTTCTCCTGAGTTCGTCTTCTATTGAAAAAGGTATAAATTTCTCACCAATAGTTTGTTTTCTAGAACTTCACTTTAACCCTGTCTCTGTGAGTAAATCCGTGATTTTTTAAACGCATTTACACACATTGTTAGGTTGTTTGAGAGAACCCAATTGGTTAACCGAAAGTAGCGTTGAAGAAGCTTTTCGCGCGCACATATCTCTGGTGTCAATCGCTCGCCGTGCATAAGTTAACCTGATTCCGTCGTCATTCGGGATTCCGAGTCTTTAATCTGATGGGAATTCTTTCGTAAGCGTTCACAACACAATACATTCATAAAAACACATGGTAATAACAATCAACTGTTGCAGTTGCGTAAGTTGGGCGGGTGGGTCCTTGTGGTAAACGCTCTCACAATGATATAGTCTACTGGACTAGGACATTTCGTTCTTCGGCACCTGTATTGCGAATCAGCGCTGTAATCCTAGGGTGGTAGATTTAAACAACCAAGGCCAACCAAAAACGCCAGCAAAGTAACAATTGTGTGTGCTTTTGGTTTTCGAAATACGCTTCAATGACCAATAATTCATACAAAACCTTGTGAAGAGATTTTGAAGGTCTACTTATGGTTTTCGGTTTGCCTTGCTAAATAAACCTACATCGAAGGGCCCATAAGTGTGATAACATTGTTTCCTCCTAAATGGGAATTGGCAGCAGCATGAATTCTAGGGTGCGTTAAATTCTCAACGTACCGAATAGGTTTTCGAGCTCCACTATTATTCAACTACTGATGTGGGACCAACCTGTACTTGACAAGACCTAGCGCTTCTTATTCTTCAATCATGCAGCTGGTGGTGCGTGAGCGCTGACTTCTCTGACGTTGGATTTCCAACAAGTATACTATTCACAGTGTGTTTTCCCTCTCAATCAGTCAACCTATATACCAGACGAGATGATATTAAAAACTTCGTTCTTCTGCTAGATCTCAGTTTACCCCATCAGTACAATTTAGTAAAGCAATGAAATCTTTGGTCCCAGCTGTGAAGAATTTATTTTCTGATTAAGAATGAAATTTTCTGAAGTCTGGTATACAGCTCTGTTTTAGTGCCAGCGTAAGGCTGCAGCGTCCGGATTTCTCATTGTTATCCCGTCAGTCATCATGATTTCTTTGCTTGTCTACTCGTTCTTCAAGAAAACTTCACTGTTACGTATTTCTCAAAGTAAACTGGTTAATTGATTGAACCAAATGAGAAAATTTGCCAACAGAATTTCTAAGGTACAAACTGCTAGAGTTCTCACAACAAAGAATAAAATCTTGATAAGCTAACCAAGGTCTGCCAGTCCTTCGACAAGGGCTTCATGCCTACAAAGTGCGAAGTCATGCAAATCATGCCTCTAGGAATCCAAGGAACACTATGTATATCAGAAGTCGCGTTATCTCTGATGGCAGTGTGACCGATGATGTCAACGCACGAACCTCCAAGGCCAGAATTGCATTTACCGATTTGCGCCACTTTTGGCACCAAGCACTTCAAGGCAGGTGAGTCATCTGTCACACATATCTAGCCGAGCATCGTTTTCCGTGCCTTGTTCGGAATGGCAAAAACCTAGAGGTGGACATGGTTTGACATTGCAGTCGGAAATGAAGGATGAGTTTGGATGGCGTTGGTGCTGTTTCCCATCCAGGCTGGGGTGAGTGACACAGCACTGACGACTCTTTATGTGAGTGAACCAATCATACAGTGGTTTTCGTTTTTTATTTAAAAAAAAACTGATATTAGCCGTGGAGTTAAATCCGGATTCGGTGCGCTATGCGGGGATAGAACTTCTTACGATGAGTTAGTGATCTACATACCGTCGTATAATCCTACTAGATACTTAGTACTTTCTCAAATCGGGCCGAGCACCACTGACACTCTTTATGTGAGTGAACCAATCATACAGTGGTTTTCGTTTTTTATTTAAAAAAAAACTGATATTAGCCGTGGAGTTAAATCCGGATTCGGTGCGCTATGCGGGGGTAGAACTTCTTACGATGAGTTAGTGATCTACATACCGTCGTATAATCCTACTAGATACTTAGTACTTTCTCAAATCGGGCCGAGCTCCCAACATGATTACCAGCGAATTTGACCATTATCGGATGCACTCCACTCATCGGCTCTATTTTCCTACACTCTCAAAAAATCTCATTCTAGATTCAGAAGGTTACGAATTCCAGTTGATCTCAATGGATCGTCAGTGGCATTTCGAAGCCAAAGGACCTGAGGAACGGGATGATTGGGTCATGTATATTGAGCGTGCCATTATGACCAGATTGCAGTTGAATGAATCCACCAAACGCACCAGGGCGATGAACAATTCAGGCTCCGCTTCCTCCAACACAGGCCTTGCGAGCTCATCCAACTTGACCGGTGGAGTCCATTCCGGTGGGGATAACAACAGCCTCACAAGCGGCCGTTCCGGTGCTGGGGATAGCAGTGAGCTTGCGACGACCGATCATCTGATTGAAAGTATTCGTTCAGTGGCAGGAAACCAGTACTGCGCTGACTGTGGTGCTTGCGGTGAGTTTGGTATTTCATTATTAAGTCGGTTTCCAGGATCTCGTTTCTCTAGATTTTATGTACGTCACTCCTAACTGACTCCCCAACGGAATAGCACGCCTGCGCGGATGGCCTTGACCCTCCAAAAGTTTCTTCACACGAACCATTTCGTTTTCGAAAAATTTCCACTGTTGAAAAACTGTCAGATTGTACACGGTGGCCCCTTTCGTCTAGGAGTACAGAACGTGCAACTCGATCTCGTCCTTTTTCACAAAAATTCGCTCTACAGACGGCAATTGATTCGAAACTCCTGCTCTCCTGTTTCCTTATCTCCAAGCTGATGATTAGGTAGGCTTCCGCGGTGCAGGGTTACATTTCTTGGATTAAAGTGTAATCACCCTGATCAGTATTGACTGTTTCATTTTCTAAGTAGACGAGCACCAGGTGACAGATGTTACTTCTGCTGATTCTGTTGAAGGTTCGTTAACGTGTTCGGTAATTTATACCCTCCTATCTCGTGCGCGATGGCCTCTCTTCAGTCTTGGAACCGAGCCCATAAGGCGCGTCCATCTGCTATCCCAATCTCAGCATGTTATCTCAGGCAGTGCGGCGAGTGATCGAGTGTCAGACCCCTTCCCAGCTTATAGCGACAACTACCGAACCCTTCTTCGCCGTCCTTCACCGTTTCGGGCTTTCTTGCGCCCGATCTTGTGACACATAAATGGTATCAGCTGTAGAAGCCTGGAAATGTGGCTTGCTGTCAATAGCTCTCTGTTTCCCAGTCAACTGACGACTAATTGCTCTTCCACTCTTCTGAACTGGCTTTTGCATTGGCACTCACGTTTCTTCCAGCGCATTTCAGTCCGATAAATGATCCTGCGAGGTGGATGTTTGTGACTTCTGAGCTTCTGCCTTTGTGATAATAGTGATAATAGTTTGGCTTTCACTTCTTGTTTCACAATGTCTGAAATCCAACAGTTTGTATCTTTAGTGGACCCTGGTGTTTTCCTTTTAACTGTTGCTTAAATTGCGACGTGGTTCGCGGCTTTAGAAACTTCTTGGGAACACAGTATAAGGGCCGCTTGTTGTTATGAGGTCTTTCAAGGTCTTTTGTCATCAGAACGAAAAATCTTCTTTGCATCCTGTGCCATTCCGCTGGCCTCTTTACCCTCGTGTCACTCAATATGTGTTCTCGAAACGTGCCTCCGAACTGGTGCTTTTTTTTACCTGATTGCTGCTTTTACTGTCTGCATCCGTACACGCCCACGTCTTGTGCAAACGACCTATTCGCCGACTACCTGTGCCCATTTAGGACACAAATCAATATGGTGTTTCCTCGCTACCGATGTTGCTTGTTGTTGACGTGTTGACTGTCTGGTTTTTCCCATTTGCTCGCTGTGTGAAATTATTTCCACCTACCGGCTGGTCGCCCTCTATCTTTGCGGTTGCAGTTTGGATTTCTATCAGTTAACCATTTGCTAATCCTTTTGCGACTTAGCTCGATAACAGAAAACATTTTCGCCATTGTCCTTGCATACAGTTCTGTGCTAGAAGGCTGGTGACCAGACTTGTGTACGTTCGTCTGTACATCTCGTCAGTCGAATGGATGTGTACACTTCGCTCCAACACATCCCATGTGCGGTTGTTCGTGTATGTATCGTGGATGCTAATCAGGGTGTGTTTACATCTCTATTATAGGGCTAATCGATCCTGTCACAACTGTTCATTGTGCTTTCTACAGGCTGACTGATAATCTACTTACTGTCCGTTGTCTTGTTTGAGTGCGTTTACGCCTCTGTGTCGAAGTTTGCTGACACTTAGCGTAAAATGACAGACAGTTGGCTCTGAAGTCCGATTTTTCAGTTGACTTTTCCCATTTTCTGGCTGCTGTCATGGAACCGGTCACACTCCAATGACTGCACGGTTCATCAACTGAGTCTCGGTTGCAGCTCCGTACTTCAACATGCGCACTAACAGGATTGTTCTCATGGCCTTCCTTGATGTATAGGTACCTAATCGCATTTCCCAGTTTGATAGTCCGAAAGTCCTATCCTATTGTCAGTACGTGCATTTGTGTGATCCTTGAACTACGTTCGGCTGATAAATCCCAACCAGGAGGGGACAGTTTGTATATTGTCGTCCCGTATCGCGTGCTTACATCTTCCCCTTATCTTAGAAAGGAAAAACAGCCAATTTCAGATTGCCAATGATGATTGTGCCCGACACCGATGTGATCTCATTCGCTCACCCTCACTGGAATCTCCTGAAAAAGTGTGGATTTCAATTAAGGACAATAGTTGCTCCTCCTGAAGTGACCACCAGAGTGGGTCTCAGTTTCTGGAGAAGTCCAAGCCGTTAGGCACTGTGAGACATCGCAGATCTGTCCATACATGTCCATACAGGCATTTCCATATGTCTACATGTTCACTTGTTGGTACATGGTTCGCATTGAATATTCATAACTGAGCATAAGCATCCAACAACCAGTTCGTGTGTCGTTGAGTATAAACCTAAACATCATCAATTAAAGCGCATGCTTAATTTTTCCGAAGTAAACCAACAGTAGTCCCTCATCAGTTCTCGATATATTCGCAATTGATTGATGTTCGGGCCTTCTTTCGCCGTTTTCTGTCTGTCGTCGCTGAAGCGTGGTTCAACCTCTTTCTTTAATGAAAGTGACTGATGTCTTCGGAAGTTGGAATGTGAACCTACTTTTAGAGCCATAAAAGACTTGACTGCCTCATGAACTGAATAAATCAATTGGTTGTTTAATAATGTTTACCCTGTATTACCTTTCCCTTATAATCTTTGACTCTTTGTTGGGATACCGACAACCTTGTACACGGCTCAGCAACCACTAGTGAACAGATGATGAGATGTTCCGGATAGCCCACGATTCTGTCACAAAAAATGACTAAAGGTAGGTCGTCTCCTAGTAGCAGATCGAGTGTGATTGATTCCGTTTTCCTTTACACCACAGTGGATCATACCTAGGATGGCCCACTTGAGCCGTGCGCTGAAGTCTTACATATATCAAAAGTAGGATGTTCAAAGCTTCGAGACGTAAAACCATATATAACTGAAGCGAAACTCGAAGAAGAATAACGGAAGCGACCAATCAAAGACTTGATTGATAGAGTTGGATCAGAGGCAGACCGAATTATCCTCGCACTTCGTCATGGTGGTGCTTACAGCCTGTCTATAATAATCGTTGGACTTCACTAGTTCATTTTCTTTCGAAAAATTGTTCTTGAACACTGCCATTCGCATCCTTATTTGACCATGACAGTTTGCTTATATTGTGTCCTAAGGTCTCTGAATGCTGAGACCTCGCGGAAGTCGGACATAGTCGAGCGCAACATAGCCACTAATAGCAAGGCCCATCATCTAGTCATCTAGTTCCCTTCTAGCATGTCTGGGATGGATTCATTTTGGCGCATTAGCGCCCCAAACGCGGTTTCGCTTTGCCACCTGCATCGTATACGACGATCGCCGTCATTCCAGCAACTAATCGAAAGTAAAGTGAGCAGCACGATACGGTGTAGATATTTATAAGCCAACGCATACGTCGCGTTCAGTGTGGTGGATTCTTGACCTTTTTGGATAGATTGTGAAAACCTTTGATGCTAACCTAATTTCTAACCTTTGGAATAGTGCTGCTGCTCTTTACCCTATGTGTCCCTGTTATCTTCCGTCTTTGCGGATCCACTCGCAGGACGGGGCTTAGTTGGACTTTTTCATGGACCGATTATTTATCCATTAGTTGTAAAAGTTTCGGCACCTAGTGGTTGACTTCCCCTAGCTGGTTGGTAACTTGGGTTTGGCGCAATTGTACCAAGTAATGCAGGCACTTAACAAGTAGAAATTATGTGAATACGCAAGTACACCATGGGCTCTATGACCCGATTAGAAAAGAAGCCTCTAAAAGCAGCAATCCTAGACCATGGAACTCCTGTCTTTACTAATCCAGAGACATACTTTTCTGGCAATGCAAACCAGCCAGATGCTTCGTAAATTGGGTGTATGGTCTCTTGATATTTTCTATACGCTCGTTATACACTAAGATCACAAGACTGTCATTAGCTAGAAGCATTGACAGAATCAGCCCAGTCGCGCGCTCAACGAGGCACAGGCATCCAAGCCGTTGTCTCCAATGCATAGCTCTCTTTCCCGATCTCCAATAAAAGTTCACTGTCACTCCCGGATTCACGCATAATTTGTATCAAATATTGCCTCCGGTACGTAGCAATTTACCCGTATCTTCCGAGGTCATGGATGAACGAAACTGTGGTAGCTATAACCACTGTACATGTACGCGGTTCTACCGACCATGGCGATGGCAGGATTGCAGTCGTAACGCCTGCTGCCACCCATTCTTTCCCTATTAAGCATCGAGACAGCTTATCGTTACAATGCTCACCAGCCACTACCACCATACGACGTGTGATCTAGTGGAAACGGAAACGTTGCATTATTTTTTCAATCAAGAACCCGTTTGGCTGAGGAAAAAAGCAGCAGTTCTGCAGCGCAGATCTAAGCTTAGCCTGAGAGCCACCGAAATTCGGATCTTCCAAATCGCATTTTGTCTTTGTTTTCTGTACGAACATGTGACCCTCCAACCTGTTGTCTGGGTACCCGGAACCCATAATTTTTTTTTCAAAATATGAATGCTTCATGATTGTTCTGAAGGCGACGTGCAGCAAAATTATTCTGTGGTACCGTTTGGGCAGTTCGTAACAGGAACTGTTCACCCGGAAATGACACTAGCAATGATAAATCCCCCAATTGTTAAACTTTCTACTGATGTTGGATTTGTCTTCATGAAAGCCCAACGAGAACACCACTGAATACAGTCAAAGCACACTGAAAATCTCGGCTGCCCTCTGTCTCTGGAGTCTGCCGATAGGAACAGACAGGCTGTGCTCCTTATGCGTCGTGTTGCCAATCTCTAAACAAAGGTAGTTACAATTTGCAACCTTCAGCGGACAAGCTCATCCTCACGTATGAACCAATCTTTGGAAAAGGAAAGCGTCCATCGGTAATAAGCTGTTGAATTATTTATTTAAAGATAGACTGACAGCTTAGTTTTAACCTAGGTTTTCGTCTGTTTTCCCCTAAGGGATCTTTGTCACTCTATAGGTGGAGCCCACGTGACTCTCTTTGCTCGTAACCAGTCTGATTGGTGAGGAATAGCCGGACTGCCTAGCTGACGTTTATTTGTCGTTGTTCAACGCATGCGGGTGGCAAGGCTCACAAAGGACGTTTGATCGATCTCGCTCCAACGTGGTGTTTAGCTGTTTAATTCAATGGTTGTCGTCATTCAGTTGTAACACTCCTTCGGTGCCTAGCTGCAATTTCACCCGAAACAAGCTTAATGGTTGTCCAAGCTCAGATAGGAGCTGCTTATGTTGGGTTCGAATTGTGCCTTAGCCACTGAGTTTGTTTAGTTTAATGGTTTTGGGAGCTTTCAGCACCTTACCGTCATCCCCAGTAACATGGGGATTTTTACAGTAAGTCCTCGCTCCTTCCCGTCCTGTTCATCCATTACCTTGGTTTTGACAATAGGGCACATAAGCGCTATTTCCACTGCTGGCGAATTGCCGTTCCTGATAATCATTGTTCCGCGTGTTTGAAGACCTCTACAACCTCTACTAAAAGCTGCTTAGTTTCTAGTTTTCTTTTGACGTAGTAATTTGAGAAGTGGTGGCTATGATAAACATTGTTTCCTTTGATTCCCCTAAAATCTGAGTGTAACGTTTTTCAACTGTCAACCCACCGATTTAGCTCAGCTAATGTGTCAGAAAATAGGCCAATAGTGCAACGGTCCAAGTTGCAGTACATCGTTGCTGTATGACATACATCTTAATGTTATATGACACAAAAGACTGGAATACTTATTTGGTAGGATGACCTGCTTGACTAACCTAAATATCACCGATCGATTATGCACCCATTGAGCCGCAAATCAATAATGGTTGATGAATAGTTACCTATGATGTTCGTTTTTTTTGCAAAACTAAATCCCCAACCTCGCGAATAATCAGACTTTGTGGTTGAATGGTTAACCAATTGATCGCTTGAGAGTTTCTTCTGTGCGTGCTCAATGGGCAATTGTTGGGATGGAAAGTTTTTTTTTGTTTTTGGGCTTTTCAGAGCTCTAATGCTTTGTTTTATCACCAACATACTGGTTTTATATACTCAGCTGTTTATGGTTGTGCTCTTTTCCGAAATGGCTTGAACCCTTGGAAGTGTGCAACGTCAGCAGGAATTAAATGAACAGTGTAAAGTCGTAGAACCGACCGGTTTCCATTCATGACAACTTCCTGCACACCTGGGTTATTACAGATATTGGGTGGAAAGGCTGAATTATTGGTATCTGATGTATACTTGAAAATTGCTTCATATCAGCTTAACTACTGGCTTTCTGATGCTTTATTCCTCGGATCGAGGCTTCGAACAGGGTGTTCTATTAAAATGATTTCATGGATTTGATGGTCGAAACCCCCGTCGGTGCCTTGGAAGTTTTAATAATCATTTGAATGAAGTTTCGCATCTCATATGTAACGTGGGTAAGACCGCGCCATCTCACAACGCCTTTGAACTTTTTCCAACTGTTTTTTTTCTTCACGCGACTGCGTAACTTACGTGCATCGTTTACCAATTAAGCCATAAGAACAAGCGTTTTTCTCTGCAAGTAGTATGGGCTGACAGACCCAAATATGTCGACAGCTCACTGCCAGTTTTCGTCTTGTTTTGAGCCCATCAGGAATGCGTCCTTAGTTGTGCTACTGGGACCCCCACTCATCCGAGTTAAAACTTGCAGGACTCTAACCAGTGTCCTCTGGAATCGGCCCTGTTAAACAGTGAGTTAGATTCTTAAGAAAAGTTATCCTTTGAGCTCTGCTTATTGCCACGTTTTTCATCCTAATATTATCTAGATTGATGGATAAACAATACGTCCCTGCCTACGCTCTGTGAAACCTCTGTGATCGCGACCCGGTCCACACTACTCCGGCCAGAGTCGCATCTCTTAGTTCATCATCCCCTGATGTAGTGCAACCCACGAAGACTACTTTCAAAACGAACCTACCTTATCGCATCACAAAATTGATTCTTTCCTACTATTCACTATTTGTTTCATAAGGCTCATACTTATTTTCACTGAAAGGGAAGACAAAAACTCTTGTTTTCAAAATCTCCGTGCGATCAATCTTCTGTGGTGTCTCGTATTCCCGTATATGGGCTGTTCGCTTTCATGGGGGTTGGAAAACTCCAGGCCATTACATAACATCGACCTATTTTCATTTTAGAACTATACGAGACAGGCTATGAAAGATTCGTTCATATGAACAGTCGAAAATCTAAGTAAACTTTCTTGTGGTGCATATTTATTTCAAAGTACTAATCTGTTTCCGCATGCCTGTCCTCTCTTTTCTTCGGAGGCTACCTTTGAGTAACTAACTGAGATTTGTAGACAAATAATGTAAGGTCATCAATTGCCTCGTCACCCTGTGCCCATGTTCGCCACACAGAACGAGGGGTTCTGAAGGAATTCAGTGAAGTCTCATTAGCGCTAACTCACTTTGCAAGTGAATTGAGTTCATTCACAAATTGCGGGACATTTCAGGAAAATGGACGTGAATTTTACAGAAAATTCATTTGCGCCATATCTGGTATTTTTGTTTTCACTAGATTTGTAGCTTTGTTCCAGCTGCCTACCAACGTGAGTCATGGATTTCAACCTTAGTTGCCTCGAAATAAGGGGAAAATAAGTGATCGGATTCAGGTGCAGTGTAACATGCAATGCGCAGTTCCTCGTACTGCTCTCGCCATTCATGAATAGGCGAGCAAAAGCTAGTTCAAACCATTTCCCTCATGAAGGCACTTGATTCTTGTGTGTATCGCTTGCGCTGGTCGAATTTCGTAAGTCTGTGGGTGAAAAGCTTCATCAGGTGTACCCTGCATTTCACTTAAAGCTGAATCGTGCACAAATATTATGGCAGTTTGCCAATGTTTCGCGACATATTTCCGCCATTGCCATGGAACTTCAAGAGTGATTGCAAATACGATGGTCTCTGTTCTGAATGCTCGTTTTTATTATCGCGATTCTGTCTTTATTCGTCGGATTTGCACCTAGGCTCGTTGATCGATTTCTCTACCATCCGAAATCATTAGCACTTTATATTCACCTAATTGCTTTTCTATGTTAGCCGAGTTTCAATCGCCCCGTTGTCTTCCGTTGGTTAAGCCTATTTTGAAAATCCGGCGTTGTATCATTCAGTCGTTTTTGGCGGACGAACCTCTCGGGTTTTTTTTCAATGCACCTTCCAGCTGGTAAACACGCTGTCATGGAGACTTTTTTCCGCACGCTCGTTTCTTCCTCGTCATTTGTGTGCGAACTTTCTTCTCGCGAGGTCTGTAGTGTTTGTTTGCTTAGCACAATATTCGCGTGACTATCGCCGGTCGCTACCCATCGTCTCACTGATTTGTTCCTATGGGGTGTTGCGTGTGTACGGGTTTCGTGGCACAGTGAAATTTCCATGTCATTTATCACCGCTCATTGTGCTTTTGCTCGTGTCGGTTGGAGGCGGGTAATTCAACTCCCGTTTGTATGCTGTACAGTGCCCCTGTGGGCTGGTAGACAAGCACGGCCCGCACAGCCTGTATGGCGGCTGCTGTTCATCATGTGGTTTGTACCGCTTATTACCGTCGTTTGTGACATTCAGTTCAACTCATAATTCTCTGATACAAGCCGCTTTGATATACGGATGAATCAGCCAACCTGCTTTTAAGTCAACTTTGTTGTTTTATCTCTTGTTTCCCACGCACTCCCTTCCATGTATTCATCACTTGCTCGAAACTGCTGCATAACTGTGCTCGCGACGGGTTGCAAGGTTTCAGTTTCCTTTCTGCTTATGAAAGTTGTTGGTATGACATTTTGTCAAAACTCATCTATTCTATTAAAGGGTAAAAAACATAATCAACACACATGGTCGACAGCTAGCAACCGACAGCAGTACCCCTAAAGTTCACTCCTGTCATTGGTTTTTTTCGTGAAATGAGAGTTTGCGTGGTCACTAAAGCAGTGCAGAAAAACATGTGTGTACAATTTTCGGCTGTCCAGAATAGCCAGCTGGTGGTCAAAGTCATCTGTTTTCGAGTCGGTATATATTGTCTTTGCCTCCACCCAACTTCTGTACATCGTCAATCTCGCTCAGCCTCGTTTGACCAAATGCATCCGAACATATGTAAGTTCAGTGTACTTACTTTGAAGCACGAATCAAAATAAAATTTTCAAAAATAAGCAGAACAACTTGCATTCCAGGCCATATTCGCATTTGAGTATACTCGGAGGAGTAAGTCACACTGGGCCAAACCACAATTAGGGTGGTTAACTTACCTTCCATTCCTGCCTCATTCAAATAGAGACTGAGTATTCCGTCAGAACTGACAACTTTCCAAGCAATCGGCAGACGCCGTAAACAGAAGCTTAATGGATCGCTTTTTTAGTTGGAGAGATCTGAATCATAACAGTTGTACTTCATCAAAACGTCTGTCCGATTGAACCTTTTTATGCTGGGGATTGGAGCCGATCGAAGCCTAGCTGCTTCAGGCTGACCGGTGACCGGTCATGCTCTTTTGGGTGCTTTGGGGTTGTTGGTTGATTTTTACTTATTCTTTTGTTTTCAATTCTGTTATACCATCCGGCATCGCTGGTTTCCCAAGAACGATACGATACTTTCTGTCATTGTTTTCAGATCCGGATTGGGCCAGCTTAAATCTGGGTGCTATGGTGTGCATCAGCTGCAGCGGTATCCACCGGCAGTTGGGCACGCATATATCGCGTGTTCGGTCGCTTCATCTGGACGAGTGGTCTTCCGAGTCTGCGGCTGTAATGTGCGCCATTGGCAACACACTGGCCAATTCCGTGTGGGAAGCTGCCGTGCCTGTCAATGCAGGCAATCGGAAGTATGTGATTCTTCTGTCGATTTACTCTCCTCTCAGATTTTTTATGTCTAGCGGTTCGTCCATCTTTCCTGATAATTCACAGTCTCCAATCCTAGTGTTCTCATGCGCTTGTGGCTTGTTAATGCAGGTACCAGATAAAAATCGTGCGTTGCATGCTTTTTGCTCCCTCTGGAATAATTTGGGAAAACGCAACAATTGTATCCTGGAATGTGATCACAGACTTTTGTTGTGTTCCATGGCTGAAGTGCAGATGGCGACCCTTATGTGCTTTCTATTTGATACCTTTGTTTGTTAGAGTTCTTACTGAAGGCATGTCCACCTATACCATGCTTGGCATCCTTTACACATAAACCCTTCTGTATCAAATGATAGCATCTGATGTGAACGCATCAGTGGTATTAAATTGGCACCTATTGAATCCCACGTAAAAGTTGATAGCTCATCAGCGTAAGTAATGTTTGGAGCCACACGCTGGCACTTCAACAAACCCGGTTTTCAGTCGTTTTACACCATAAATCAGCTGCCTTAGCCACACAGACGTACTCGATGATCATGTGGTTGCTAAGGCCAGTAGTGTCAACTGCTAATCAAGCATTAACAACCATCTAACGAACCCTAGTAAGCACAACTGATCTGTTGCTGCTGAGTGGACTGATAGCGTCCTCAATAAAACTAATTTAAGGGCGTTCAACCAGTGTTATCCTCCTCGCGTACGCCAACTTTTGCCTTAGTGCACATGTTCGGTCATCGTATTGCTTTTTTCCTTGTTGTTACCTGTTCCCAGAAAACCCGAAGCAAACAGCTCACGAGAAGAAAAGGAAATATGGATTCGTGCAAAGTACGACCGTCAAGAATTTCTACCTCCCCTTCCTTATCCCGATGCGCCCCTTCAGCAACAGTTAATCGATGCAATCGCCCGACAGGATACGCGTCAAGTGGTGCTGTGTCTGGCGCTAGCCACGCCCGAAACAGTTAATGCACCCTATTCCCGACAAGACCCTCGAGCAGCGATACATATCGCAGCAACCCTGGGAAATCTAGTCTATCTCCAATTGCTTTTATGGGTAAGTCGCTATGAGCACAACCTCTTCACATTTCATAGGTCCCATTTGCTTTCGCCCCGAGGTCCGCTTAATCATACAGCATGCATGCTTTTTACTAGTTACTCGTGACATCATAGTCTATTCTATCTGTTTGTGTGTATTCAAGCTGTATATCCCTCTACGGTCTGGATTACTTTTTTGTTTACCCTTTGTAAGCGATTGCTATTGGTGTCCAAATAGGGTTTAGAAGACGCTTGCTCCTTAAAACTACTTGTCTGAACAGTTCAACGTAAATAAAATCGATCCGTATCGAATCTTGGATCATGTTCACCTGATTGGCATCGACACACCGCTGACTGTGAAGCTTGCCAGATACACGTGGCGAAGTGCGTGATAGGAGGAAGAGCTTATGTGTTCATACCGACTAGGTTGTGGCGGTAAGGTGAATACGGGTGTTGTATGAGATTTCCTTCATGATGGGTGGTTTTAACGCGAATGAAAGCCTATGGGAATTGTACTGGATCGTTGATTGTATTTCGTCTAATTGGGAGCGTCATCATCATTCTGTGTCCGATCTTCTTTGTTTCCCTACTAACGAGAATAGGCTTAAGTTGGTTGTATCGAACTGGACAGAATTAAATAAACGGACCGACCACTGTCAGTTGCTAGCTATAGATGCTCTTGGTTCGCTTTGTGGAACTTCAAATTCGCTCCGTCGCTTTTTGTCAGTAGGCCACTGCTGCTGAAAAGGATAGGGTGCGACTAATCAATTAGCGAAGGCCATTGGCCCAGTGTCAACGTTAGTTCTATTAAAGTAGGGTGAGAGTAGCCAGGCTTATTTTGATCGTTTTCCAGCGCAGTTAAGGCGGCCGCATACAATGCTACTGTCTCAGTTCTAGCGGTTTTAAATATCTTGGTGCATGCAGGTAGTGTATTGATTGGGTTTCAACCGAATGATCAAAGATATCACCATGTCTTGAGCCCAAGCTGATAAGCTTGATAAGCTGAGTGTATTGATGTGTCCGGCAACTAGGATAATATGTAAACTTTTCATGTTTTATAGAATGGTTAATAGTTCAAAAGTATCGTTGCATCCTGGTTAGGTTGCACCCATCTGTCTTAACACTTCAGTGAAAGCTTTTACGGTATCGTAGTTACGCCGCTTGTTTATCGATTAGTGTTTTCTATCTGTGGTTCACATGTCTCTGTCACTGGTATTCACATGCGAAAGTCGGCATACCTGTGACCAGCTAGAGTACATCGTCCGACCCTATTTCGACTGTACGCGCCTTCTGTGATGCTTTGCACAGTATACGAGGATGCTAAAAAAAGCTAACCATGAGGCACATAGTTTTGCTTTTTTCGACCAACCTGCAGATAGTTTTACTTACTGGGCAGGTCCTCGAATCATCTGTGATGCCTTATTCAATACGATTCAGTCATCATCTGTCCCACGATTTTTAGTTCTCTACATAGGACAGAATTCATGCGGCCTCTCTTAGACTTATGAGAATAGTAAACAGCTAAACGGGTGTTCTACCGATCAAACCCATCAAAATCATAGCTTACCAACTACCCTGTGTGACCATTTGAAACAGCCACTATTGTGTTCAACTGTTTGCTTGGTCTTCGATACCGGAGTGACAAGCCTACGGCGGTCCCAGGCGTAACTTCTTATGACCGCCACTTGCAGCCCAAGCAGGTTTCTCGGTTTGTGTGATGTAGGCTACAAGACTGCATGTCGCACATGGAATGGGATCCAGCGTATCACTACGTACAAACAATGGTCAACAGGATGACTACTTTAGTCTTGTGCTTACCGGCTTATGGATATAGTCGCTAAAAAACTTGAGATCTCCATTTCGGTGTGTGGAGTCCGCTGCGACGTTTGAAAACCGGTCTGTTGAGCGTACGAACAATCTCCAGAAAGTTTCGCCCTGACTTCTACAATCAAAGGTGGCGTCCGCATATTTGTTCCTGCAGTCAAAGGTCTCAGGACAACTTCTAATCCTGTTGGTTGCCTTTTTAATAGTAATTAGTTGTGAAAGCACCACAAAATCACTATTTTGGCGGGGCGAAATGCAGTCGTAATGGTTTCATTGTGGATTCCACCCGACACATAAACAGCACTTACGTCTAAAGGCTTACAGTCAGACCATTGTTTTCGTATTAGCGAAATTCCGCAGGCAATGAACTGACTCAGACAATGCTTGTCTTCCCAACTCACACATAAACTTCGATCCACGGAACTAGTGCACCATGCGAAGACTCATATGATATGCTAATCACTGTTTGTATGGTCAGTTAATCGTAACTCGAACTGGCACGCCAGTGAACCGAAAATACACAGGATGATGGGCACATCTCCCTTGTCTTTCCCATTGCCACCCTCGAGATAAGCTGGATTATTATAATGGCTAAGTCCGGGATCAGGTTTCAGTCTACGGTTTGTGAGTTTGGGGAAACGTGGGCAAACATTGCTGGTTCTGGAACCACGTTCAGAAAAGTGCTCTATTCAACTGATTCCGTTTTTCACAAGTGAACTATTTCCACACTAATTTTCGGTTGCTTACCCGGATGTAGCAATTTATCTTCTTTCCATACTTCTATAAACCAAGCAGCATACAATCCAATATTATCTAATCTAGCTAATCCATCCTTCACTTATTCGTCAGTCACCACCTATAGGTTTTTGCATCATGGACTTCATTTCTCTCATCAACATCCGACTTGTTTCTCTATTAGGCCTGTGTCATCCTATCTTCATACGCAGTCATTCCCCGGCGCATCTTATTGCCCTCGCTGTATTTTCACCACACCGTTTGCCTATGTCAAAGTCAGTTTCCCCAGAACGTGCTAATTGTTTACTCTTGTTTTTTTTCTTACATGCGTGCAANTGTGTGGTCGTCCTATTTTCAAAACTTTCCTATTCACATCTTGATCCGCACTCCCGATGAACTCAGTTCCTGATTTCTGTATGGCTTATTCGTCTTTTTGTCTGCGCGTGTTTGTTTCTCTCTACGCATACGGGCTTAAGCTAGTGAGCAATGGCGGTTCAACAATGTCGCTATTGAGTCGTTGCGCGATTGTTGATGATTGATATACGTCATAAGGTGACAGCCTCTTACCAGCAAAGGTGTGCGATTTCCACTTCGTTCACCGGAGAAAGAGAGAGGAAACAAAGAACGGTAAGAGTTCGTGGGAGTCATACTAGCAAGTTCTTAAATGTGCTCCAGCTGTAAGCGTGATAGACAGCGGTGGGTTTCAGTTCCGCTAATGACGTGATAATTAACCAGCAGATCTGGGTCAATGACACAATGCATTCCCATTGTTGTTTCTCTCTTTGGGAGTAAGCCGCCTGAAGAATAAATGTCACCCTGGTTCTGGAGAGTTTGATCCTTTGATGCGAGTGTTTATTCCTTAAGAAGAAGTCCATCAAAAGGGGTGGTCGCATGGATTTTTTTCACCTCGTTCTTTCGATCTTTGTAGATGTGATCATGCCCCCACATAGGCCCGTAGTTCACTCCCTCATTTGGTGAATGACTGCTTCGAACCAATTGAAACATATTTTTAAGTCCCCAGATCGCTGTATCGTCATCTAAATTGGAAACCCAGTTTTTATATTTTATCCTCAGTTAAATGGTCTTGAGGTTATTCCACTGTAACTTTGGCCATCCATTTGGAAGAATTTCACCTTTCTGTCACCATAGTACAACGGAGATCCTACGGTAACGGATCACGAGGGTCGAAATGCCTACTATTATGCGCACTGCTCTCAAAAGTATGACTGCGCGGAGTTCCTCAGAAGAAGCGGGTGCCCCAAACAACTAGTCCCACCCAGCCCAACAGGATTGACTCCAGCTCAAATGGGACGGTCAATGCTACCAATGCCTGTTCCCGTTCCGCATGTCCAAGTTCCTCCTCCAGGATCTTACACCCAGCCAACAACCCTGGAGTCGCATGTCCCAACCCATTCGGCACTAGTTCCCTGCAATGTCTCCCAACCGTATCACTTTTCTCATTTACAGCAGCATCAACCAGGGCTTCCTCCTCCTCACCTACCTAGTCAAGTTATTGGAATACAGCAGAATCATGTTTTATCTGGTCATCAAGCAGGTTCAGGTTCAACACTGGCGCCTTCAATGAGTACTCCAGCTCAGGCGTATACGCATGGTAAGCGAACCGATGATTTAGACCGCAAACAGGCCACTCCATTCTTAGCCTCGCTCCAACAAATATTCAAATGTGGTTGAGCCTATTTCAGGACTGGATGGGTGTTATTCACCCATCCAGTATGAAATACTGATTTGTCCAACTGAAAACGTTTCCCGTCCCTTGTGTGCGGTCCGGATGGTTGCAGGAATTTCGTCCCTCTGGATTCGCTACTGTTGTTTGTGGATTCCTTTCCTGGCTTACATCGAGTTGACTGGAACATCGAGGCATTATGGGCCCGTTGAGCATCGTAGATGTCTATATGCCGAACGTAGCATGAAGTCTTCCTTGCTAACTGTATGCTGACAGTGCTGATAAAAAGCCTCCTCCTCAGCTGCACTCACTTTGGGCTGAGGCATCCTGACAGTTTTGTCTTCATCAAGGGTTGTACCATAGCTGTGGCAACAGGATCACGCGAGAGATCAAACTTTGCTAGTATGAAACACGCTGTCGGCATTGCATTTGCGCTTCTCTGAAAGAGAATCTACGAGACTATATCTAGCGTGGTCTTAGCTTGTGACTGTGACCTCTCATTGTTAAAGCCGTTCGTCCGCAATAACCACTTTCCACGAATATCCAACGTATATAGTGACGTCATCGTGTTGGCCACAGTTGAGTCCACGAAAGAGCATTAGTCTCTAAGCGATGTAAACCAACCGATGTGGCGTAGATATGTCCTATGTATACCCTCCCAGTGATTACCGTCTCGTGTTTTGGTTGCACCCACATGCGCTCTGTTTAGAAAAAGATAAAAGGGCAGATAGTCGCTGACCTGATGCTTAGCCACGGAGTCCAGGCCAGGTTTGATCTCTCTTATGGTCCCATAAAATATGAATTTGGTTTTCTTGAGATGTTGAAACAATTGACCCGAATCTAAAATCGATAGCGCGACTGCTTTTCATTCTGCCATCATAACCCATTTCGATATAGAAAAACAACCACGGTGAAACAGTTTTACACTGTATACATATTCCGTATTATTGTGTCATGGTTAAAATCGATGACTGCTTTTCATTCTGCCATCATAACCCATTTCGATATAGAAAAACAACCACGGTGAAACAGTTTTACACTGTATACATTACATATATTATTGTGTCATGGTCTGTTTGCCACTTAGTCCGTTCTCAGGCTTATATATATATATATATATATATATATATATACTTGGGAAACGTCCCATCTCCCGTGAGCACAATAGGATTTAGACAGGACCATTTGATCCAACTCCTTGGAGAGTTACCTCTGAAGAGGCACCATC